CCCATCCTTCTTTTCCTAGTTGAAATTCTCAAAGATGTGAAACCCCGATTGACATTTTATTTATTCAAGTTTTGGTAATAATAAAAAATGTTAAATAAAAATAATAATAACATATAGATATATTGTTGTATAACAATGCCAGGAAAAATAATTATACCCTTCCAAATTTCTTTCTTTTATTTCTTATCAATTTTTTCTGCATGTTTATTAATTTGTTTTTTAATTCAATTTATTTTCATTACTTTTGCCAAAAATGCAGAAAAACTGGGATTAGAAAAATCCATAGATACAATATACTCTCAGATACACTTGAATTAAGATAGTTTACGTAATTGAAAAAAGGAATATTTGAGTAGAATTATTTTTATTTAAAACTGGATTTATATTTATGTGACATATTTTTATGATTAATTATAATGTTCACATAAGGTGCACGGATCTAGTACAAGATAAATATAAAAAAAAATTATTTGTAATATAGCTTTGTAATATATAGAAATAAATAATAATAAATAACATAAAATTTATGTAATAATTATAAAACATGATATCATTTTTAGGCACTGTTTATTATTTTTAATAATTTGTTTGCCTTGTCAGTTTGGATTGAATTCCACAAACAGTTATCTGATTGGATTTACAGCGTGTACGATATTTTGAGTGAACGGCGGACAGATTATTATGTCTGATGGCTCAAATTATTTTTTTTATTTCTTTAGAAATATAATAATCTGTCACGTGGACAATAGTTATAGTGAGATACGAACACATTCACGCCATATATACAGAAAAATGAAATAAACAAAAGTAAGATAATAACTAAATAATAATCAAACAACTATGTACAATAAAAAATAAAATAATCTAAAGATAAGTAAATTAAAAACTCAGTCATAGCTATATACAATCAGGTAGGGATCGCCAGGCTTGTCCCTTCATTAATAGAGGGAAAAGCAGGACACCAAGAGATCCCTGCACTACTCTCTCAACCGAGTCACTGGTGCTAAGTGGATATTGAGCAAGAGCTTTATTATTAAGTGTGATACCGTAAATGTTTTGTAACAATTTAGGTCCAAAACTGAAGACATTTTTTATTTTACTTTTTTTGGTTTCTTATCATAACACGTGTTATGATAAGAAACCAAAGTTCATTACTACATGAGCTGAGCATAAATGATCAATACTTGAAAAAGTAGAAATATATAATTAAATTTTTTTTTAAATACAGAATACTCTATCCATTTTAATACTCTTAATCTTAAATTTCGTTCCATGTATCGGGGTCATGTCAATATTCGAAAGTATTGAGTTTCGTTCGGGGTGGCAGGGACTTAACAATTATAACAAGTATAAGCAAATTTTTCTAAATAATAAAAAAATCTCAAAACAATATACACTATCTTCGATTCATTTCTTTTAACTTTATGAACCTTAGTTATTCGATAAATGACGATCCATTTCATTTGTCGTTAGTCAAACCAAGCCGAGTCTTGGTCTTGGTCTTGCGCAACAGTCTTGGTCATGGTCTTGGTCTTGCGCAACAGTCTTGCCGTTACTTATTACCTTATTACTATAGAGATATTACTGTAATTTTTTAGATAGGAGAAACCTAACTAAGTCCGAATGAAAAATTAGAGGCGTTAAACGCAAAAGTATATTGCTTATACCAATTATTAACATATAGTGACTAAGATTGCCAAGTATTAGTAACTATTTTGCCTAAGTTTTTATTTTAAAAATCGATTTTTTTTATATTGGTATTGGTCTTGCAAAACACTATTTAGGATTCGATTCATTTTCAAAACTATTTAGTTTTCAAAAATGACTAACAAAACATACTTCTCATTTGGCTATTTTGTTTCTATCGATTGCATGTAAACTAATATTTACTATTTATTAATTTTTTAGTTAAATAATAGTTATATTTTAAACTTCACTCTTTGGAGAGAACCTTGAACTGAACATCTTGGAAACTTTTTCGTTTACTTATACCACAGCACGAAGCTGCAGATTGGACTTGGGAAGTTCAAAACAATCGTATGGGGGATATGCCCGAACCTGAGGCCACAGACGAAGAGGCTCCAGATGACTTATGTGCTCCAAGCCGTGGGATGCTGCGTAGAGGAAACCGCAATCTTGTGACTGATCTGTGCGTGAGCCAAAGACCCGGATGTGGTCATAGACTCGTTAACTAATAAACTGCAAATTGCATCTACATTATGAAAATCAACATAGATTTTAATTTAACTACTTATCAATATCTCCTTCCAGTCCAAGATTTTATGAAATTGGTCATCTTTCTAAGTTAACTCTGGCATATTTAATGTTAATTTCAATATTTTCATTATCGCGCTTTCAATTTTGTTAAAGCAATATCTAATGTGTCTATCTAAAGAGAAGGAAAGAGCTATTTTGCCATCAAAATAATCATAGAGAGAGAGGGGGGGGAAGGAACGAATATTTAAAATGAGACGTTTATTTCCAAAGACCTTAATCAAAATTTAATAGTTTCCAAGGAAAGAAAAAAACTATATTTTCTATTTCAATTGTTGAATCAAAACCAATATTTTCGTTCGTCTCTATTGGAACATGTTTGGGAAGAAGTGAGGGAACAACCATGGAAATCCAAATTAATTCTTAAACTTGATAAAAATAAAGACGTTGGGGTTGCGAATAAATATTCCTAAAATAATAAAAGAGCAAAATCGTAAAGTACTCAATAATTTTAAAAAGTTTATTAGACAAATAATGATACGTCTTTAGTACCTAAAAAATATAACTTTCTGGCAAAATAGGATTTCGTCTAAAACCTTAAAGCAAAAATTAAGAGATTCTTTATTTGCAGCATTTATTTTCGAAACTAAGTCTCATAAACGATTTAGTATATGTGGTGTAGTATGAAATATAAACTCTGATATGCAAATGCACTATAAAATAATTAACTCTAAACTATCTAGGAAGGAAATTCCTTGTGCACACTTGTATATTAAAAGTGAACTATACTATATTATACTAAATGCTACTATACTAGATACTACTATATTAAATACTATAGTAAATCTAAAGTGAATAGATATTGACAGCAAAGAGAGGACTACAATAAAATAGTAATGTTGCTCAACTGTGTTGAGTTGCTGACCGAAACAGAATACTAATCCATCTGGTAGACAATTTAACTTGATATACTTCGTATATAAAAATGCCAATAATTGTGTCCTTTCTTTTCTCATTCTCATTCTTCTCAATTCTGTCATTCGGATCCATAAATTAATGACCTGATTTAATGTATGGTGTAGGATTCCCAATGAGTACAAAATAATGGACTCCGCCATGCTCTGGATCTCAATCCTTTCAACACCTAGCTTTTCCAAAAAAACTAACAGTTAAAAAGGGAATTGTCCCTCTACTTCGAAACCAGCTAATTATGAGATATAAGTATGAGAAGCAGTCTTCATGGTTTTTCTTGAACAAAGGCTTTTGATTACAAATAAATGCAGTAGGTGACTATTTTATTGTATAACTAAAATATCAATAAAACTTAGATGTACTATATTATTGACACGATTTATGGAGAGAGGCAAATGAATTTTATATAATCATTCCCCCGACAACCGTTTCCCAGATAAAACACAACATTTTGTAAACTATGGTGCAATATTCCGTTTTACGTACCCCTTTTTATCAAATTATTAACATCCGCCTGAAACTTCGTGAATAGCTTCCGACCCAGTACAAAAATATTGAGCCTTTTTGGCCCATATAACCTCGTTATTTTGACATGTTGGAGGTCAATATTTTTGACGTCAACCGGCCCAATATTTTTCTAGGCAGCATTTTTTCTCGATTTCGTGTTCAAATTACCTTACGATTCAAGTGTCAAGCAAATGGGTATTTACGAGTTTTTTGTACTTTATTAAATAGACAAAGTTCGCCGATCCCCAGATTGAAAACGCCCCAATTCCAAGAGTTTTCGTAAATAAAATAGTTGTGGGTTACGATGAGGCGAAGCTATTCACGAAGTTTATGGCGAATGTTAATAATTTGATAAAAAGGGGTCTGTACCACGGACTATAATGAAGCCTCTATGATTTAGCTAATGTGACGATCAAATGAATCAAGTACCTTCTGACTAATATCTCCCAACATACGTCTATATAAAATATCTATTTCATTTGGTCGAACTCCTTTCCAAAACTTTCATCAATAGAAAATAGGGATTTCAAAGAATAGGTAATAGCATTTATGAAACGGTTGACGGAATGGAATTACTAAGTAATCCTCTGTCGTAAAATACATCGTTTTTAGACTACTGTTTATGCATATTTCCATGGGCTCACTTTGCCTTTATTATTATGCCAATATTTGAGCTCACATCATTGTAGACCTTATCCTCATTCCATTCCCCAAGATGACTATAAAAGATAAGATAAACATGAATTCCTGAGGTGAATTTTCGTTATTACATGCATTCATTATGTCTAAAAACAATTCGTGTTTACGAAAAATGAAAATTAACTCCTCAATTACCTACATTATAGTTTATAGTTGTTAGTGTGTATGTTCGAAACACATAATTAAGTACAAAACGGTGATTTTTATATTGTTGAATGATCCCATATAATAATCAAATTTAATTTAGTACTAGAATAAATCATTAGAATGGAAATTCGTACTGAGAAAACTTTGACTTAGGATTGATAATGGTTCTAGAGTATCATTGAAAGTGTTAAGTCGTCAGATTTTAGATCGCACTGCTGTCTAATCTTTTGAACTGCTGGAACCTTCATGTATTGGAGAAGGGTGGGATTTAATATTGTTATGTATCGGAGAAGCTCGATTAAAAACATTTCATATAAATAAATAGACTAGAAATCAAAGAAAACTTCTCTAGTTCACTAATTACTTAGGACGGCGGCAGGTAAGGTCCTATCAGCGCACTTCCGTCTATTGGATGTCATAAAGATAAGGAGTGTCAGTTCAAACCCCCCAACAACGGAACCCTAAAAGAGTGGGTCAGAGCAATCTGGGGAAGCAGAGGCTCGGGGCAGTAGTATTGAGGAGTTGAGCCAAGGCACGTAGGAAGTAGGAGCAAGGAGGACGTAGAAGCTTCCTCGAAGATGATGATCTAGGAAATAGAAGACACCAATGAAGCAGACCACCAGCTGGCAGTAAGAACAGATAAGACATAACATCCATTAACCGATCACCATGTTAACCCGTGTTGGCAAACAGTATAGATAATAAAATCAATAACCTAATAGTTTTTACGATCAGCCCTATGCACACTAGCATTCTCCTATAATGATTTTCTAAGTGTATATGAGTTGTAAAATTATAAATAGATTACTTTTTGAGGAAATCTTAATTCTTTAGTATGTATCCTTGCATGCCACCGGTTAGATATAGATACAAACAATAAGTCAGTAAACATGATACCTCTGAAAAAGAAGTTAAATAGTAATAAAAAATTCAATCTAGGATACTACAGAAGGGGAAGTATGGTATTTAACCTTTAAATACACAATTCATATATTTTGTAAATAGGTTCCCTTTATTTTCCTTGGAACCGATAAAAATACGAATATAGATATCAAATACATTCAGCAGAAATAAATGCGGTTCCTGGAATCACCTGTCCGCCGTAGAAGCGCGGTAAGCCAAGAACGTAGCAATATATAGGCTGGGTAGCCATTTATCATGTAACAAAATCGCATTTTTCTCTATGTATCATTTGTATATTTATATATATTCTTTTTTGAGTATGGAAAAGATGTCCAGTCACGTTCACTGAGAATTGTTTTTTTTGGTCAGTTTTTCAATGTATAAGATTCTAAGTCTTTGAGCAGTATTTAATTGATTACTAATATTGAATGCACTCCTCTATATGTGTATCATCTTTTATTTTCTCCGATCAATCTACAGCTTAGGATATAGATTATATAACACTTTTATAATGTTTACAATACTATTATTGTATTCATTTGAACACATTAAGGTACAGATGTAAATCATTTATAGTAAATATTTATCTGCTCTTTTATTATTATTTTTTTTCATTAATTCAATGGTATGACAACACAAGTAATTTATCGTTCATTTCAAATTTCATTTAGTATTCCATAGTTTATTGTTTGTAGCAACTATTTTGCAGTATTGTGACCATATTGCTCATATTATTTCTTTAATATATCTGTATAGTTATGTAAATACTTCTGTTATTACTCAGTTTTTAGTTATTTTTTTATTGTAATATGCATTTTAGCCAGATAGTACGTTAATTTTTATGTACAAAATTGTTATTCTTAAAGGACTTTGGCCAAGAACAAAGTTGATTCTTCTTTTCTATATACCACGATGCTCTAACAACGTTTCGAAGAATTTTGTATTGTGTGTCAGGACTTCGTTTGCTTATTATTCTGAACCCTAATGTTTTGTTACATATGTCTAAATTTGTCGTAGCATAGTGGTACAGATTAGTCACTTGTTCCTAGGCTAAGTGAGAACCTGAAATCCAGAAGATGCGACAGGTAGATAGTATCTTCTATTCATTTCTTGACTTTGTATTTTGTACTTTGTATCTATGATCCAAGTCCATGTTTCGTGTCTTTTGGCCAATGAACACATCTTGGTTGGAGGATAAGGCCGCACGGTGGACATGACTAATACATTTTATTGGATATAGTTCAAATGTATAAACTTAAATTTACAACAGTGATTATAGCATCCTGTCCGTGAAATTCTCTTTCGATATTTTCCAATGTCAAATTTGACATTCTATTTATTTCGACAGGAAAATCAAAGAAATAATTCGATTGTAGCGTTCCGCTCCAAACAAACTAGTTTAAAATATATAACATTTGATTATGTAATGTTTATGATCTTAAACTTATAAAATTAAATCGTGTATATATAAGAAAATAATAAGGTAAGCAAATAATACTGATAAATAAAATTCAAGAATATATTTTCTGAGAAAGTTTTATGAGATAATATTATTTCTCCAGATTCTTGTCTATATTCAGTCTGACCTCCGTGAACATATTAAAACTAAAGAAATAAAATAAAAATGTTTCAGAAGCTTATAAAAATCCGGTTATTATTGAGAAAACTCCCTAACCACAAAGCGTCATGTCCCCAAAATTCAGGCAAGATGGATAAAACTCCCATCAACATTTCGCCTATTCAAGCATCACTCCATGAAATTGAAATGCATATGGAAAGGAAGATGAGACAACACAGCAAGGGAAGGTTACAATCAAACAGCTGATAAGGGAAACAAACAACTAACAAAAACTATACCATATCCAATAAATAACCATAAGTATATTATAAAAGAAAATTTAATAAATAAATAATATATATATATATATATATATATATATATATATATATATATATATACGCACAAACGCACACATATATATAACGAAGTGAAGAGATAATAAATGAGATAAAAAAATATTAAAATTAATAATTCCGCAGGCGTAGGAGCATCAATTATATGTAACGAACGTCATCATATTTTTTCCTTTTCACCACTATGTAATAATTATACTGCTGAATTGGTTGCAATACATAAAGGTTTAAATGTTATACAGTCCACTAAACAAAAAATGGTCATATGCACAGATTCTCTATCCGCTCTAATTAGTCTAGGAAATGTTTTCTCATCAAATGTCATAATACAAAATATTCTGTACTCAATAAAGTCCGCAAATAGAAATAATACTTCAGTAATTTTTGTCTGGGTCCCTGGGCATGGCGGAATAACCAGTAATGAAATGGCTGATCGAGCTGCCAAAAAAGCCATTACTGATTATGGACCTTATCGGGGGGTACCTCTAGAGGATTTTATAGCTGTCATAAAACCGAAAATGAAGACAAAATGGGAACAGATATGGTCGAATGTAACCGAAAATAAATTGAGGGAGGTTCAGGGTGACGTTTCCTCTGGGGCATCGTCAAATAGGAATAACCGTAGATAATGAAGTAGTTCTTACGTGCCTGCGTATAGGTCATACACGCCTTACTCATGGATACCTGATGGCCCGTGATTCTTCGCCAACATGCCAAACTTGTGGGACTCCTCTGACGGTGAAACACATTTTAACGGAATGCAGAGCTTACGAAACATTTAGACTCTCTTGTGACTTGACAAACGATTTACACTCCATTTTACAGGACGATACAAATGAGGTTGATAAACTATTTTCTTTAATGAAACGTTCTAATCTTGAAAATAAAATCTAATTCTCAGTGAAAATAAGGCAATAATGACCCAAGTGGTTGAAGCCTTAAAATGTATATTAAAAAAAAATTAATAATTATAGGTGCGTATGAAACAAAAAAAAAAGTCAACAGAAGATTTTCATGAAAAAATGTTGACTATGTAGACAAAGAAAAAATATGAGAACAAAGCTTCATTTTTTAGACTTATCTAAGATGCTCAGCGTTTCTGAATAAAAGTTATTCAAGTTTCTTCTGTCAGCCTTGTAATCCACAGCATTCTTTCTGTTTTACATATAAAAATTCTTCAAGATAATGAAGTACTAAAATTTGCAATGATTTTTTTCTATAAAAATTCGTACTTAAGTGTTTTAAAGGACATTAAAAACTGATCTAACTTGCTTTTTCCTAACAAAAAATTTACTCGACCTACTTTTGTTGAGGCGTCTTTTAGTTTGTTTTTTTAAATTTCAGATACATTCTAACTGATTTAATACCATTGAAGATATGTTTTTATTATTTCGAACAGAAGAAGAATCTGATAGGTGAATAAGACAAAAGTTAATAACTTTTTTTTTTTTAAATTGTATAAAATAATTTTTTTTACGGCTCTAAGGCCCACTGGAACAAATTTTTCGACAGGTGTCTACAATTCTTCAATGTAGTATCACGAAAAAATAAAAAATTGTCGGTGACCCACTGACTGCAATCTACCCTTTTCAGTGAGCGAGAGAGGTATATTTCGTACGAGCTCTTTAATTTAGTTTTGAGTTGTATTTTATTTCATCTAAAAACGCTATTTTGACACCCACTGTGTCCTCTCCATTCAGCACTCTGCAAATTTCCCTACAATCGTATTAATTTTCTTTTTTTTTTCCAAATTAGAGTTCAACCACCTCTAAAGTCGCCTCTAAGAGGACCAGGGGAGAGGGAGTAGGGATATTCAAAAGTAATCAGTTAGGCCGACAGAGAGAGCTAATAGGCCTATAGAGACAGCCTATACAGCAGGGGGCGATAGATAGCTAACGCTGATTAATTGAGAGCCATTGATCTTACAGATGGGGTTATGGCCCTCTTACCAAAATTATTTTTTAGAAACAAATTTTTAGGCTTAATGAAAAGTAACTGTAAATTTCGGTAATTAAACAAATTCACCCGTGGAGGGAGACATTCCAATTCGCTGCTGCAAATTTTCGTGATTACCAATCAGCTCTAGATGAGCAGCTCATATTTTATCTTCTTTTTGAGTTCGATATGCAGTGCAATTTCAGCCTATTCATTTTATTTATGGTCTTCATGTCAGAACTGAATTTACATGTTACAGATAATTCGAATCAGAAATAATTCCCAGAGATTCATAATTCACCTATGATTCAGAAGACAAAAGAAATTAAAAGTTTTGAAGATACATTAATTTATTTGTGAAGTTCAAAATATTTAATATTTAAAACCAAGCTTAGATTTTATGAATGGAAATAATCAGTTTAACGTAAAAAAACACCAAAGATGTTGAGAATAAACTAAATAATATTAAATTAAAATAAAATAAATTGTCATGGTTAGCTTTGATATAGTTATCATTGTTTACAAATGCACCATTAAAACAAGTAATTAAAATATTGGAAGAAAATTGGAAAAATATAGAACCTTACACCAAGATAAAAAATAAAAAGGTATATACGGATGGTACAAAATTATGTTTAGAATTTTTAGACAGGTAGTAGAAAATAGGTTAAACATAAATGTTTGAAAATAGTCAAAAAGACCAAAACTTTATAAAATAAATATGTTGATGTAACCAAATAAAAACTTTTATGTCTTTTAGGATATCAATGGGTTCTAAAAAATATTATTAGTTAGTATTAATTAACTAATGATATATTTATAATATAAGGGAGTGGGGTAGCTCAGTGGTAGGGCACTGAGCTTCCAATGC